CTCTCTCTCTCTCTCTCTCTCTCTCTCTCTCTCTGCCAGAATAGCTCTTCTAAGAGATAGATAGATAGATGAATCTCACATAATGCCACAATTTTAAGCTCAGATAAGAAAATGGATGTTTAGTGTCATCATCAATGATATGACTTCATAGTCACCTCATTTCCCTGAACATTTTCTTTCAGTGCTTAATTTTGTTACCTCTTCATATCAAACTTGTTTTATCGACTCTAAAATAGAACTCTTCTATGTGTCACATTTTTTTACATAAAAATGAATGCTTATTAAATATTGTTATGAATGCAGAGATTTTTGTGTGTAATATAGACAGATGCTGAGGTGTATGGACAGATAGTGAAGATGTTGATAGTAGAGGAGTATCACCAGGAATTAGCCAGGTAAAAAGGTGTGCGGACATCAAATCTAGACTGGATTTATGGGGCTGCACAGATAAAGCCAACTTTAGGCATGGCTCTGGCTCTATGGCGGTGGCTCCTCCACACATACTGTGTTCTATTAAACAGAAACTGCCTGAGAGAGACATGACCAGGCAAGATCCTTTAAGCTTTCTAAACTGTGTTAAAATAGGAGAGGGGAGGTAGCCCTAGGCAGAGCTATGCAAGCAGGCCAGCTCCTCCCCTCTTCCCTGTCTGAAACTCCTTGTGTCCTGGAGACTCCTTGACCCCATTTGGTGGCTGAATTGCCCAGCTCTCCCTTCACTCTTTCCCTCCCAACCTTTTCAAATCTAAACAATCTCATTGTCCTTAACCTTGAATGCCTTCCTAGGTGGCTTGGCATTGTACAGAGAAGCCACTGGTAGTGGCTGAATGGTTTCTCCTTACTTTTTTACATTTTGAAAATAAAAGCATTTTTAATTGGATTTAGTGTATATTCATTGTTTTGCTTGAATTGCTTTGTTAAAAAGAAATCTCTAGCCCTAGCAAGTTTTGCTCAGTGGATAGAGTATCAGCCTGTGGACTGAAGGTCCCGGGTTCAATTCCAGTCAAGGCCACATGCATGGATTGCGGGCTCGATCCCCAGTGGGGGGCTTGCAGGAGGCAGCCAATCAATGATTCTCTGTCATCATTCATGTCTCTGTCTCTCTTTCCCTCTCCCTTTTTCTCTGAAATCAATAAAAATATATTAAAAAATAAATAAGTCTCTAGGAATTTGCAATCTCATGGTAAATATATTCACCCTGTGTTCATTTACACACATGTGCACAGGCAGACTTAAACACTTTTTTGGCTACCTCTCTGTTTTTAGATGAAAACTTCTAGAAGGCATGGACAGGGTTAAGATTCTCAATATATTTTGCCTCAAAACATCCAGTACTCAGTGAGAGGGCATGGCAGTGATTCTCAAGGGCAGGTTGGAGGAGAGGAAAGGGTGCGTGCACCTTCTGGTCTCAGTGTGCACCCATGACCCCTCAGGTTGAATCTTAGTCTCTACGGGGTTTGCTCCTAACCCCTCCCCCCGCACCACCACCTCAGGTCACAGTCGGTAATCATTTTTGCACTTATTATAATATTTTTGAAGTACATATCTTTTCTGCCCTTTACAAGTGATGCACTTTGGGAAACATCTCTCTGCCTCTTAGCTGTGTGGTGGTGTCTGTTACAAAGTGTCCAAAATATCTGGAGTATCGTTATTTTTAAAAAATCATTGTCACCCTGCCTCAGTTGGTTGGGTGTTGTCCAGTGCACTGAAAGTTTGCCAGTTTGATTCCGGGTCAGGACACATGCCCAGATTGCAGGCTCAGTCCCCTGGTAGGGGGCATGCAGGAGGTAGCCGATCGACGTTTCTCTCTCTCTCTCTCTCTCTCTCTCTCTCAAAAATCAATAAAATAAATAAATTAAAAATCATTGTCTAGAATACACACACACACACACATTATGTATTTTTAAGTTGATAGAATTTATAACCCCTCAGGCATCCGTTGATATTCATCTAAGAAACAATCCAGCGCTTTGTCTAAATCAGTGGTCTTCACACTGTACTGTGGTTGGCCAGGCAGGACACTGTAACTGGAGCATGTGTACCTGGACCAGGTTCAGACTTCTCAGACCTCCTGAGCTCACTCACAGCAGCCTCTTCAGCTTTAGTATGGCTCTGCTTCTTTCTGTCTCTGTCATGCATCCTGATAATCACCTACTGACTTGTATTATCATTTAGCCCCTTCATTTTGTAACCTTGATTTTACACTCTCAGAGATTAGAGTTTTTATTTATTACACTCTCAATAAATTCTAGTCAAAATCTTTCCATAGAAGTCTTCTGACCCCTCCCCAAGAAGCCACGGAATCAGCCTATCCAGGCTGCCAGTCACTTCATCTCTCCGTTCAGTCTTGAAACGTTGTTGAGAATAGAATTAGCTAATGCAAGAGAGCACTTGGGGAAGTGATATGGGTAACTATTTTCATGTGAGATGGTATTATTGTTTACACCTAAGACTAGCTCTGAGAATTATCAAGGGTGTTTTTGGTTTTGTTTTTGGTGGTGTTGTTTTTTATAGGGAAAAACTATTTTTGTCAGCTCAAAAAGAAAGGTTAAATAACAGTTTTGCTTCTAATTGGGATGACTGCTACTAAAAGTGTACTTACGATGTTTCTTTTTAAAAATATGTAATTACAGATGGGATACACCCCACTCCACGTGGGTTGCCACTATGGAAACAACAAGATTGTTAATTTCCTGCTCCAGCATTCTGCAAAAGTTAATGCCAAAACAAAGGTAAACTCCTTTTCTCCTTTGTATCCACCGAAATCATTGATTGTGTCTGAGGAAATGAGTCATTTCTTCCACCTTCCTTCTACAGAATGGGTATACGCCATTGCATCAAGCAGCTCAACAAGGACATACACATATAATCAACGTCTTGCTTCAGAACAATGCCTCCCCCAATGAACTCACTGTGGTAAGAGCCGAGGGCCAGCTAGGGAAAGGCAGATCGGCTCGGGCACTAGGATCTTCTCACATTTTTCATTGTGCACCACAGTTGTTTTTCTTTCCTTTCATGCATAGGCATGAGCAAGCATTCAGCAGAATGAAGGGAAAAGGACAATACTAGTAATTATGTTGTTGTGAGCTGTCCAGAGGGAGAGTTGCGATTCGTGTTTCACACTCAAAAACTGCTGATTGCCTTGCCCCCTGGTGGGAAGTACATAAGAAGAAGAAATATGCGTTTGTTTCCTTGATTCGTTAGGACATTAAGGACCTCTTGGATTCAGTCTGTAGCAGCTGAGACTCTGCTGTAAGAGTAGGAACAGGTTAGGTGGGTTTCCTGCAAAGTATGTCTGATGAAACTGTTTTGCACGTGGCAATGGAATAGGCTGTGGAGACACTGGTCTTAGGATTTGTACGGGTGAGACAGGTGCACACATAGAGGCACTGAGACGCGTGGAATTCCTGGCTAATTCCTTGTTCCCGTTTCCCTCTTGCCAGAATGGGAACACTGCCCTCGCCATTGCCCGCAGGCTTGGCTACATCTCAGTGGTGGACACATTGAAGGTCGTGACGGAGGAGACCATTACCACGACGGTGAGTGTTCGACGCCGGGCCTGGCTACCTTAGGACAGTAGATGTTTTAAGACGTTTCTCAGACAGTAGATCTTTCCTGGGCTTTGCAGAGATGAAGCCTCTTTCCTCTGTTCGTAGACTACGAGCCATGTTTCCAGAGGTTGTCACCTCATTGTTGGCACTTTAGCATAGCAAAACTCTCATCTCTGATATTAAGAAAACTTGAAAACACTAAAAATACCCCTTTAAAAGTTGCATTCGGAGCTATAGAGTTTGTCATTCCATATAAAGCTAAATGTATTTATTTGTTTGTTTGGCTATTTTTTAGAAGTTTGAATGAGATGTAGACAAATGTTTTAGCATCCTTCTTCAGCAATTTAAGAAAATGGAGCATTCTGAGTTGGTTCTTTGACATTTTTTAAACTCACAAATGATTAATAGATACATTGTTAGCATTATTATAAAAATGAGATTGTTATAACATGAAACATTAGAGATAGGCTCAAATTGATTTTTACCACCACTTTCACTTGTCTTCTATTCACCTATTGGATTTTCATAGGGAAAACAGTAGCTGCTTTATTAAAATTTTAAGTGAATCTTTACTAGGAGGCCTTATTTAGCAGATATTTCTTTACAAACTGCGGCAGGATTTGGTAACTTTGGAATCAAGAGCGGATATTGCACCCTATCAGAGGCTTATTTGAATAATTCCTGACCACATGACTCAACACAAGGCCTGGCATTGACTCTGTACGTGGTAAATTTAAGACTCTGGAATACTTGGACTTACTACCTCTGCCTCCTTTTCTCATCTGTCACCTTCCGTCCTGAAAGAAGGCACAGTTCGCATCTGCAGACAGTTTGTATACACAGGGCTTCATAGAAAACACAGAAGTTGTTCTGGCCAGTGTGGCTCTGTTGGTTGGCTGTCATCCTGTGCAACAAAAGGGTTGCCAGTTCAATTCCTGGTCAGGGCCTGTGTCCAGGTTGCTGGCTTGATCCCCAGTAAGGGGTGTGCCGGAGGCGACCAATAGATGTTTCTCTCTCACATGGATTTTTCCCGAGGTTTCTTGCTCGCTCTCTCTTTTCCTCTCTCTCTCAAATCAATTTTAAAAAAAACATACACACACATTGGTTGAGGTGCTCTTTAGCAATATGTAAATTTGGTTATTTGACTATCTACATACTTTAGAAACTAAATAATAAGCCTGATAATTACAAGAGAGAAGTTTGATAATGGGTGAAAAAGAAAACAATAGCTTGAATGGAGTAGCATGATGGTTATCAACCATGGCACATTTCTTTCTTTCTTTCTTTTTACTGAATTTATTGGTGTGGCATTGTTAATAAAATTATATAGGTTTCAGGTGTACAATTCTACAATACATCATCTGTATATTGTATTGTGTATTTACCACCTCAAGTCAGGTCTCCTTCCATATCCATTTATCCCCCCGACCTTTATCTTCTTCCAGATTCCCATATGTTGCTTTCACATACCTCTTGAGTGTTTCGTTATCTGATTATCTATTATTAAATTCTCAAGAAAAGAATTTAAACAAATAATGTAATATCCTTAATTTTATAGACATCTCATGTAGCTCTTTCTAGGGTGGGGAATGAGAGGGAGGAGGACAAGGTAGTAAACAATGGCCAGCTGTCACCATGCTAGATGTGAAGTCACTGCAGCAAAATCAGGGTGTCTCAAAAAATGTATAGACGCTGAAACAGCTAATAGCTCAATTTTGAAAATGAAATGTATTTTAATGAACACTGACTTTATACTTATTCAAAGTGTGTGTATACATTTTTCTGGAACACCCTATATATAAGACTTCTACTTCAATGTTAGAGAATGGAAACTCCTAGAACAGTTCAAAATCCAATCTAATTTGATTGAATGTAAATGACTTTGTCACCCATTCAGAAAGTTCCACGTGCTTTCTTGATACCAGAAAAGCTATAGGAGAAAATAAAGTTACAGGCAGAGAAAGTCAGCCTCAGGAAATCTTCTGAAAGGTGGATATCAAGGCTCAGATTCCTAATGAAGGACACACCGCATTTGGGGCCAAAGCCATTTCACACTCAGCCTCATCAGCCTAGTTGGTTTCTGCCTCAGAGAGAAGACAGGACTCATGCTCACAGGAAAGATTCAGTTGGCCTAATGGGAGAAATGGGGCTTTGACTAAATGGAGTTCTCACACTGATTAGAAAAGACGCCATCCCAGTCCCTAAGACTCAGCCCAGCTCTGGTATGTGAGACTGTATTTCAAGCTGAGACACCACCCTGTCAGCCCTGCTGCAGCAGTTACATGTGATCCAGTTTACAGGAGGATCGACGCCATTCAGGGTGGAGTCTGACCTTAAACTCCCTAAACACAGCGCTGTCTTCACCAGAGGTAGACCTTCACACAGCCAGTTACTGGGGCCCCATTGTTCCAGAAGCAGACTTTAGTTTTTAAAAATGCCTTTTTAAAAGAAAGCTGCCTTCCATAGGAGCACTGTGTAAGATGTGGCAATTCTGAGAAAGGTGCAGCAAGGGAAACTGACTATATGGAAGCTGGTATGCAGAGATATGAATGAAGGTGTTTGTGTTGTTGAAAATACTCAATTCCCTGAGTAGTAATGAGCAGAATAAATCTATTACTCAGCTCTGTTTCCCTTTTTTTAAATTAGTGAATGCTTATGTTCAATCTTTTCTTTTTAAATATATTTTTATTGATTTCCAAGAGGAAGGGAGAGGGAGAGAGAGATGGAAACATCAATGATGAGTGAGAATCATTAATCAGCTGCCTCCTGCACACCCCATACTAGGGATTGAGCCTGCAACCGGGGCATGTGCCCTGACCTGGAATCGAATTGTGACCTCCTGGTTCATAGGTGGATGTTCAACCACTGAGCCACGCCAGCAAGCCAGATCTATGATTCGAATTCCATTCTCTTATAAAGGGAACCAGGGCTCCTCGGAGAAATGGCTGGATCCAGCTAGAACTAGGGTAGGAAATATACAAATGAGCTGGGAACATCTGGTAGTGCCAAAAAATAATAATAATAAGGAAATATCCCCCCCTCCACCCCAAATAAACAAGTAAATAAGTACACACACGAAAATGATGGGGACATGTCAAAGGGACACAGGAATCAATGGAAAGAGTCCCCAGTGCTGAAAGCTGCAACAGTTTGAGCAAAAATGTAAAAAAGCAGTACTGGGGTATAGTGCAAAGTATCAAATAAATAGCCCTGAGTCCATTCTGGTAAGTAAGTGACTGGATAAGTAGGGAAGAAGAGACACATTTCTCAGGCAAAAGAACTCTAATTTTTGAGCCTACACATGCTGACGGGGTGGATATACTAGTAATTCCCCGCTGCTAAAGCCTGGGTTGAGCATAGTGACTTCCTTCCGAAGAAAACAGCGTGGACGGGGCAGAGGGAATAGAGTGACTTTGCATGGAGATGCCAGGCACGCACTGCGTCAGCCCTGTGAGGAAGGCTAACGTCAACACCACCCAGTCATATTGATGGTATGTGATAAAAATGGCACTCGACCTCTGTGGTCTTCCTCTCCAAACCATATTACCTCAGTCTAATCATGAGGAAAACATGAGACAAATTCCAGTAAAGAGACATTCCACAAAACACCTGATCAGTTGGCCTCAAAACTGTCAAAATCATTAATAACAAGGAAAGTCTGAGAAAGTCACAGACACGAGGAGAAATGACAACCAAAGATAATGTGGTATCCTGATTGGGATCCTAAAACAGAATTAGGTGGAAATTTTAAAAAATCTGAATATAGACTTTAATGAATAATAGTGTCTTCATATTGGTTCATTAATTGTAATAAATGTACCATTAATTTTAATAATGTAAGATGTTAATAATAGGGGAAACTTGGTGAACTCTCTATACTATCTTTACAATATTTCTGTAAATCTAAAACTGTTCCAAAATAAAAACCTTATTTATAAAAATGTTTAAGTTCAGTGTTACATGCTGGAAGAGATATGAATGAAGGTGTTTAAATTCTATTGTTGAAAATACTCAATTCCCTGAGTAGTAATGAGCAGAATACATCTATCACTCAGATCTGTTTCCCTTTTTTTAAATTAGTGAATGCTTATGTTCAATCTTTTCAAGACAACACAGATAGTGTTTCTTAATTAGTGAATGCTTATGTTCAATCTTTTCAAATACAACACAGATAGTGCTGTATTTCAACATGATAATTGAGGACAGGGTGTGCAGTCACATTTACCAAGAATTGGTAAGAACTACAAGAAGCTGGGGATTTTACCCTTTCTGAGTTTTAACGGTGTAGTTTTTATTTCAATTGCCTTATTTAAATGTGTACCTTCCTTTGTTTCATAGTCTTTCATGTGCTCAGAGTTAAAAGAGGACTCTTTGAAACTAAAACATTAAGTCATTGAGATTTTCTAACAAGTAATGCTGTCGGTGTATTTGGATGGATACAGTCTCTATAGGTCAAAAGTTAGCAGAGCAAGTAAGAGATTCAGCAGGGCTTTTGCCTACACTATACCATTCTCTGATATTTTTGTAGAGGTTAAAATGACCTTGTAAATGCATTACCTCTAAAATATTTTTCATATATATATATATATATATATATATTCATTAAATTATGTACTTTATGCAATCTTAATATTGATTTATTCTAGAAATTAAGATGACACAGGGAAGACAAAATAAATGGCTGGCTTGATAAGTAGTGAAGACACATATTTCTTGCCATTCATTTGGTTTATCTTCAGCCAAGACATTTATTTAGTAGGATGAGGCAGCAGATTCATCAGACCAGGAAAAAGTACAGGCGATCTCTCTCTCCTCTTCCTTTGAAAAGCCTTACTAGGGATTTCAACCTTTTAAGCTGGTGTGCTTTGTCCCTAAAGTTGTTTCACCTTGTGTTTGTTCTCAGCTGTGTATATGGTCAGGACCTTAGAGTTACTGGGGGACATCGTGATGTCATTTTATACGTGGCGGCTTTAGGATAAGCAACACATAAGCCAACTAATAATAAGCCAACTAATTTAGAAAGAAAGAAAGAGTCTTGTTAAAACATGCACTGTCCTCACTCTGAAGTCACTGCTTTTTTGTTGTTGTTGTTACCAGACTGTCACAGAGAAGCACAAAATGAATGTTCCAGAAACAATGAATGAAGTTCTTGATATGTCTGATGACGAAGGTATGAGAACCTCCTTTGAGTTCATAATAATTAAGTGACTGTGTATTTGTTTTTTTACCCTTTCTGAGTTTTAACGGTGTAGTTTTTATTTCAATTGCCTTATTTAAATGTGTACCTTCCTTTGTTCCGTAGTCTTTCATGTGCTCAGAGTTAAAAGAGGACTCTTTGAAACTAAAACATTAAGTCATTGAGATTTTCTAACAAGTAATGCTGTCGGTGTATTTGGATGGATACAGTCTCTATAGGTCAAAAGTTATCAGAGCAAGGAAGAGATTCAGCAGGGCCTTTGCCTACACTATACCGTTCTCTGATATTTTTGTAGAGGTTAAAATGACCTTGTAAATGCATCTCTAAAATATAAAGCCAACGCCCCTGAAATGCTCAGTGATGGCGAATATATCTCAGATGTTGAAGAAGGTATTTGCAATTTTTTATTGTGATGACACTTAACTACCATCTTTATCTTCCATTTCTTATCTTTGAAATGTAACACTTCCTTGAGTTACTAACTTTTCATTTTATCTTGAGATTATTAATTTATGTGTCATTTAAACAGCACATATTTGGCGTTACTGATTGTCTTCTTTTAATCTCTCTGAATCAGTTCTTGAACCCGTTTTCCAGCTTAAAAATACAAGTCTCGCTAATTACCTGGATTCGTCTCTTTCTATTTGTTTCTATTAAGCAGGAAATTGATGTTTTTATTGTTTACATCTGAAAATCTTGAAAGGGAAAACTGATTAAAACTTATAGCTAAAATATTTTTAAATAAGCAAGAGAAAGTCTCTTTATAGGTAAGGAATCAGTTTCCCATTCTAAGATTTTCCCTACGCTTTTTAGCAAAAGCACCTTTTGATCTTGGACTAATAATGAAAACTCAACCTGAACAAAATTACTTTCAAAATATAAATTTTCAATATTGATTTCATGAAAGAAATAAAAATATAAATGATTATAGTTATACTTCATGTGCTTAAAAGAAACGATTTGTCTTCTGTCTTATTTAAAAATCAATATTTGACCAGGCCAAAATGTATAGATTATATTACTTACTGACATCTTTAAAAGGCTCTGGGAAACTAGCATTTTTACCATGAATATTATAAAGATGGCAAGTCATGGAGTTTTGCTGTAATAATTAAACATTTACTTATATAATGTATGTTATGTTTAGGTTTCTTTCTTGCACCATTTGACTTTCCAAAACTACATTCCATTTATTGCTCCCTCCATTTGCCATCTTGCATGTAGTATTTTTCTCTTGAATCAGTCTTGGTGTTGCTAGTCTTTCTCTGCCTTTAGGTAACTTCCTCATTTTAATTATTGTTCCTTCTTTGATTTGTACAAATTTAATTGGAAATGTAAATAGTGGAAAAATCTACCTGATCCAAAGTCACTTGAACTGTTTGGTGTACAATGGCTGCCCAGTGTTAGTCTGTGGTGGGGACCGCACACCCAGAGGACTAATTCTTGGTGGTCATTAAGGACTTCGAAAGACATGTCTCATTGTTTGTAAATGTTGTTTGGATAAATATTAAAGGGTTTACTCATTTTTCTTTCTTTTCCTCTAAAACATCAGCTATATGTTTATGTCCCCAAATAGGTAATATTTGTATCATCTTTAGTAATATGCTTTCCTGTCATATTATATTTCAATGCCTTCTAATGCCACATTTTCAGAGTAATTTCTGGCAGGCAGGAGAAACAAGAAAAATGATATTCTCACATAGATCTGTGCACAGGCAGCCCATGATATCAAAAGTAAGTTTTTCTAATGAAATTATTATGAAATATAATATGACAATCACAGACCTAAAAATTTGCTAGTTTTTAACATACTATCCCAAAATAGCCTCACTGATGAGAAGCCACGTTTGAATGGACTATATAATTTGCCTTATCCATGTAGATAACTAACCAAATAATTTCAAAAAAGGAGAAATTTTGCATCTCTTCATTTGAAGATTCTTGATCTAGTGGTTTAACTAGAAATGACAATCATTTCCTTAAGATGTATCTCAGTTTGGGAATTTGAAATTAATAAGAAAATTTTAATTCTCATTTTATCCATCTTCCCTTAAACACGTTGGGGTATGTGCGGGGACTGTGGGAGTCAAATGGCTTGTGATTTCATAATGTCGTAGAATTTAATGTCAAAAGGTTTTCCTTAAAAGTCACAATCTGAACAACAACCATCTAGTGCTGGAATTACCTCCATAGAACCCTCTGCTTAGGAGTTTCTCTTCCTAATGCCCCAAATGATAGGAATTCCCCAGTTTCCAAACTGCCTGTTCCACTATGAATAGCTCAGACTTTAAAATTTCTTCTTTATTGAGTATTCTGCAGCTTCCACTCATTGATCCGGGCTCTTGATATATCTGGCACTATTTAGAACAAAATCTGCCTCTTCTATGTGACAATCCTGTCAATATTTAAAAACAGTTCTCATATTTCTTCTTGGGTTTTTTTCTCAGGGCATGTTATCACCACTTCCTTCCACTGTCCCTCACTGTCATACTCAATCTCCTGTGACATTTCAATGTGCCTCAGGGAAAGCCATCTCGATTGAGGTGGCCTGAACTAAACACAATATTCTACATGTGGTGTGACCCCAGCAGACTGTAGAAGAGTTATTGCTTTGTCCCTGGATGATATTAAAAATCTATTATTAAAGATTAAGATACCTTTGAGATTGTAATATACATGTAATTTGAGTCATATTAATATTACTGTCAGCTAAAGTCCCTAAATTTTGCTTATATGAGCTCCAGTAAGCCACATTTTCCCTATCATATAATACATCATATTTTTTTTTTTTTGCTGCGGAAATTAGCACTTCTATAATTACTCCAAATCCCAAAACAAGTCATTTAGAAATGTTAATTCTGAAAGGTCTCTACAATCTTAATGATAATTTTTACTTCTGACTCACTTGCCTGACAGTTTGGCCAGAACTTCACCACTTTCATTGGATTAGGGGCTGCCTGTCCAGTAAGCCCGAGGAACTGTGGCAAATGTTTATTTCCTCGAAACCACATGTTGTGAAAATGTCTCTCTACAAGCTCTAGTAAGAGATCATTATGCTGGTAACCCAGTGTGCCAACGATATCAGCAGCTTTTTAAAGCCAATAAAAATAATAGAAGTATATGCTGTCAGTTTTTCTCAAGAAAGAAAAGATGAATGGATGTGTAAAATGGGAAAATATAATTGTCATTTTAAATTATAAAAACTGAGTAAAATATTAACAGAACAGTGGTCTCTCTTCTTTCTTCTTTGATTTCTCCTCTTTCTTAGGTCCACTTTGAGAAATTAGTATAGGGGAAAGAATGTTGGGGTTACTTTCTCAAAAAAAGGAAAACAAGTCTAGACAATGTTATCAGTCAATGACTCCGGGAACAATGGAGTCAAGTTACAGAGTAGAACAAAGGATGAAGCAGAGCCCAGGAGGAAAAGGCTATAAAGCAACCTTATCTAAGGCCGGTTGTTAAGCCCAGTCATTACACAGGTAGGGGTAACAGAGCTCCTCTGTTTACAAGGGCTAGACAAGGTCACAAGTATCTTAATGCCCTCCTGTCTTCTTTCCCAGAAAATATGTTACATACATTAAAATGAATATACATACAACATTAATATCTTGATTCTAGTGCCAGTTAGATTCTTATGTTTTACAATTCAGCTTGTAATTCAAAAAAAAGAAAAGAAGGGAGAGAGAGAGAAGGAAGAGGGTGGGAGGAAGGAAGGGGGAAAATAAGAGAGAAAAATAAAGAAAGAGAAAGGGAAGAGAGGGAGAAAGAAAATTGAAATTAAGGTTTAAATTGTCTCAGTTGAACACTGCTTTTTTTTTTTTTTTAAACTATCAGAGGAACATTGCACATGGCAGGCTGGCTCTCGAGCAGCCATGCCTCAGCTTCCTCCGGTGTTTGCTTTTTGTGCAAGTCTGGTGTGCCCTCGGGTGCCACCAACACAGCACGGCTCCAAGACTGCAGGTTGAACACTGCTTTTAAATGATAGATTCCTACAAAATGTATTTTTGTAAAACTTTTCAAAATCTATAAAATGTTATTTCAGTTTTCATAATTCTACTGGGTTGAGTAGCAGGTATAAAGAACTATAGATGGGACATAAGAGAAATGGAATTAAGCCATGAAAAGTAAAACCCAAAGAGGCGGCTCTGTGAAATGTGACTCTACTGAACAGATTTATGAGACAACTGGGTGAGCAAACTTGCTGGGAGGAATTACTTAATTCTCAGGTACTTACCAATTGGATAGAGCTGCAAAATCTCTTCAGGACCAAGTGCAGATACTAAATACTAAAATTAAAAGACTCTAAATACACATGTGGTAGAAGTTATTATCAAGTAGGTATGGGTTTGAGATATGATAAAGTAATAAAATTCCATCCTACATTAGAGTGGCATGAGGGATGAGGAGAGTCATGCTCAGCTCACCTTGGTGCCAAGTTCAGTGCCCAGTAGAAGCCACAGCAAATTAAAATCCACAGATTTCAAAGACCGGAAAGGGCTGGGTCAGTTTCATGTAGCCCATGCTCTCCATTATGCTGATGAGGGAGCAACGCCCAAATACATGTTGAGTGGCTTGTCCAACCAGGTGATACCCTGGTCTGGCAGAGCTAGACAAGGAGACAGATCTGACTGTCTGTGGTTTTAGATGATCTCTTTCCCTGATACTCTAACATGATCTGTTTTCTTGTCTATAGGACCCAAGAATGAATTTTTAAACTTCTTTTTGTTTAATTTTTATTTATTGACTTGAGAGAGAGAGAGGGAGAGAGAGAGAGAGAGAGAGAGAGAGGAGATACAAAGGGAGAGAGAGAGAAAAAAACAATGATTTGGTGTCCCACTTATTTTCTTGTATGTGCCCTGACCAGGGATTAAAGCCACAACCGTGGCATATTGGGACAATGCTCTAGCTGACTGACCTACCAGGCCAGTGCTATTTTTAAACTCCTTTTAAAAAAAAAAAGTGTATAGGAAAGGGAATAAATAATGCTTTTCAAAATTATCACAAGGTAATAAGAATTATTTTTTCAAGGCCTTAATGAGACTATAATAGAAATATTATCCCTTCGTCTGGCCTTCTTGGCCAAAGAAACATGCCGACCAAGGTGCAAGGTCGAGCAAAAGAAATATAAACATGATTTAGAATACACTTTAAGAACCAAAAGCAAGTCATTTTAGTAAATATATACCCAAGTATCCTCAGGGGAGAACAACTAGAATTTTACTTGGCACAATCTGAAACTCAAAAAAGTAGGAGAAATTACTTTGGGGAATATTGAAGCTGGATGTCAAGAAAGGCACCAGGAAAGTACCCTTCAGGACCTCTCCTGCCTGGGACTGACCTGCTATCCTAATCTTGACATCCCAATAGCTACATCAGACTCTTATGGTTTT